ATGCTCTTAAAGAACCATGATTTATAATTCCAAAGTTCAATGGAATCAGGAAATATACATAAAACTTTAGGCATTTAAATAAAGTAAGTCATTATTTGAATGAGTTGTAAAATGAATGAGATGTTTCTCCTCCAGATCATAAATTCAATGATAACCATGTGATCCTTGGAAAAAACACAATAATTAAAGCTATAAAATCACAATAAGCGAAATTATAAAAAGTTTGGGGTTACCACACTTCTGTGAGCGTCAGACTGAAAGCCATTAAGATGGTTACACGGTTAGAAGGTCTTTCAAACTGGTGGGAAAATGGAAGGAAGTGTTCATGAGGAATGGTGAATACTGGAAAAAAGAAAAACCAATCCGAACCCAATTCAGAGGGTGATGATAGAAGATTCTTGGTCTAAAGAAATATAGGCCTAGTTTAGAGGGAAGGTCATTTGGAGCGAGCATTGGGTACTCTTTATAAATTTAAATCAGAAATCATGAAATCATTTTTTTTTCCAAAGCAAAGTATCCTTCTACAAATTACCTAATCATCCCACTATTTCAACTTTCTTGTAAACATAGGTTTTCATAGTTTTATTTCTTTAAACAGATAACCCATGTCGAGAATTATCAGAATAACAGAATATTTTAAAAGAGCGTTTTAATGACTTGGTATTTTACATTTTTATAGGAATTCAAAATCAGGCTAGCACTAAAGAATGACAGAGGTTCTACTTCAACAAACAGAAAACAATCATTTGAATTTTTTTACTTACATAAATTAGCCAAATGAACATTTAATTATTTCTTTTGTGGTTTAACAACAAATACCTCCATCCCTTGCCAATTTCTCATCTTAATTTATTTAAAAATCCTTTAAAATCCAACTTCACCCTCCTTTCCCCTACGTTGGTCCAATGGTGTGTATGAACTAGAAAACAGATGCTCCTTCCTCCAAACACATTACTAACATGTGTTGGAAAATTGTAATGAAGATTCCACTCAGCAGTGGCTATGAAGTGAATGTACCTTCTAGAGGTTGTGTGGGCCCAAATGCACACAACCGGACATGGCTGCCATGGTTTGCTATCTTCCATACATGGAGGCAGTCCTTCCTTCCTTCCTTCACTGGTGTTTACACAAAGCACTCAGTAGAGACCTGGCTCACCAACTTTCAGCATTGACACTGACCTTCAACTCTGGCTGTAACCAAAGTGATTGGGGTCCAGGCTGGGGTCATGATCTTAAGATCCCATTGACATGAAAGCACAAGGAACATTGTGGAGACTGTGTTGCAATGAGAATGTGAACCCCCTCCAAAGTAGACAGCCAGCCAGCCACTTTACATAAAATCTTCCATATTTAACTAAAGAAAAAACTTGTAAGCTCCATGTAAGTCCAGCAAGCATGCCTGTGAGCCACAGCAGGACCCCCTGCAAACAACCCTAGTCCAGGCCAACAGATGGTTCCTTGGTCAACCACGTGACCCCCTAGGTGTGTGCTTGTTTCAGTGGTTTGGAAATACTAACATCATCATATCCAAGCACAGCAACGGCAGTGAGAGAGCCGAAATTGCCTGAATAACAGGCATATGGTGAGGAGGAAAAAAAGAAACAAAGACAGTGAAAAATTCAGTGTATGACAATTATTCTAGTGTACGGAGTAAGTCAGCATCAAGGCTCCACACAACACGTATGCGGGGCTCAGCCCTGCCTGACATGGGCTTGTGGCACTCAAATCGTGTCCCTCTAGATCAGGGGTCGGCAAACTGCGGCTCGTGAGCCACATGCAGCTCTTTCCGTACGTTCCATCTCAAATGTTTGCCCATCCCTGGAAGAGTCAATCCTGTCCCTCAAAACAATTTAAACATTATTCAAAAGCCATAAATATATTTTTACATAATCACCATTAATATCCTTTAAATATCCTTTAAAAATTTTATAAATGAAACTATGATAGTTTTATTTTCATTTTCAATTTTACTTCAAAGCCACATGCACGTACCCAAAGAGCCGCATGTGGCTCGCCAGCCGCAGTTTGCTGACGCCTGGCGGCTCTTCCATCTCAAAAGTTTGCCGACCCTGCTCTAGATAATGAACACATGAGCTTCTGAGCACTGAATCAGAGCACAGCCGCTTCCCACTTGAAGGAGCTGCCCACTCACCTTTCTAGTCCTTATCACGTGCAACTGAGGGTCCCAGTGGATAGGAGCTAATTACATTTATTGTATTTAATGGAAAAGCTGGTAGCATGTCTGGCACCGAATCAGTGCTGAAAGGATGATGAATACTTCCTCAAAACCGAAATGTAAGACGCCAGGTTTGAACCTGGAATTGTATATCATGATTTTAACTGACTACTTGGGGGATAAACACCAAACTCCCAAATTTAACAATTTTATAGAAAGATTCAAAATATGAAGATCTCAAAATATGAGCTCTAGCTATTGCCAAATTAAAATAATAGTAATACAGTTTTCCTCTCCACTGCATGTCACGGTGTGAGCTCAGATTCATAAATGCATACATAGACTCCTAAGGAAAACAAAGGAAGCAGCTCAACACAGCCACAGTCTAAAAAAATCCTGTTCTATTATATATTATCTGCCCTCTATTTTGTGTTTAGAGGACAGCAGCCAAAATTTAGATAAGAACTTACCAGATGAAATATACATTAAATTCCTTTGTATGTGCGCTAGTAGTCACGTCCCAGAAATCCTTTAAAAATTCAAAAGCTAGGTTTCACATGAGGCGTTTTGCTGGTTTGTACACTGATGTGCCTCACCTGCTTAAGACTCTAATTGGTCTTATATTTAACAAGAGTTTATAGAGCTGGGAAAATAGAAAGCTTTGGGGTAGAGCATGCTGTGAACTAGTCCTGCCAGTCCTCATAAAAACATTTAAAATTTTTATTTTCCTATAGTAAAGGTGACCTATAGATCAAGACCTGGTTGGGGTGGGCATGGTGGGCATGACAGAGAAGGAGGCGGGGCTGAGATTTAATGACAGGGCTATAGGAATAGAGGTCCAGCTATATGAAAAGCAGCATGCCAGGAGGACAATAACAGAAAACAAGGATTAATCGTGCAAGTGGGAATTGTTTCAGAATGGTTCAAGTGACTCCAGTATTGCCAAAGGCAAACTGATCATGGTTTAGAAGCAGAAGGGGTTCAGACAGAACCCAAGCACGCTGCCAACAGGACAATGCCCAGAACAGATTACTATTCATGGGAAGATGACACATCCCCCATGGGGTCTCAGAGCAACTGAGATGGATGGATATGGATACACAGAATTTGGCATTTACCAAGTGTCTGCTATGTGCCAGGACCAATACTAGGGATTTCATTTAATGGCTACTACAATCTTGATAATGTAGAAGCTGTTTACCCCCATTTCACAGATGAGGTTACTGAGGTTGGAAAGTTTAAATAACTACCACAACTATGTCACCATTATGTTAAGTACAAGAGATGGGATTCAAAAGCAAATATTTTTCACTCCAGTGAATAGCTTTTAAAACACTACACTCTACTGTGGTTCATGAAAGTAATCAGGGAAAAAAGATGGGTGGGGAACAGTGGGAACAATGGGGAGATCTAACCAATGGGGAGATCTGCCCAATATATAGCATAAACAGGTGACTTCCAAAACACCAGACCACGACCCACAAAAAGAAATACATTTTATAACATGACCCAGTACATATACAGTACGTCTCTCTGTGTATCAACAACTAAAGAAAAGTTGTACAAAAGTATTACGATACATTGATGTTTTCTGATTTTTTTTCATATTCTATTTCATTATTTTTAAAATACTGGTCAGGACTCACTAAAATGATTTCATAGCCCACTAATAGGTCAGAATCCACAGTTTGAAAACAAATGCCATAACCAATGACTATCACTCTATTGTTTTTGATGTTTGGGTGGGACACTAGGCTTTTCAATTTTTCACATATTATCTCCCATTGGAGGCTTTATCCCAGAAAAGGAAAGGGAGAGAGAGGAGATAGTTAAGAGAGAGACATAAGCAGTGGAGAGAATCATCTGTCATGTGTCACACACTTAAAAAGGCAGTGAAACTAACATACTCCAAATAAAATTGGCTCTACTTCAATGACAAAGGAGCTTGCCCCCAAAGGCAGAGGTCAAAGGCCCACACTGGAGAAGGTTCTAATGTCTTTAGTTGTCAGAAACACATCATTTTCCAACAAGGACTCCCTGGTAAAAGGAACACCTGTGTGAAGTCTTTACACAAATTTGAAGACTGAAAGACAAGTCCCATACCTAACTATTCAGGTTACTTTCCAAACAAAAAAGCTCCAGATCTCCTCTAGGCTACTTGGTCAGGACACCCAATTATCCACACTACTTTAATTTGATTTGACTTATTCAAAAGCCTGGACAGCATTATCTGGGGAAGGATGCAAGGTTTGACTTTTAGGTATAGAATCAATACATGAGTCAGGAATACTCATTAATGCAAACACATTAAAAGAAAGGATGGGAAATCATAAATGTACTAATGTTGAAATGTTCTCAATAAAAACTTTAGTTGCCATGGGGATTTCTGGGAGGGAAAGAAAAGGGGTCTCTTTAGAGAAGCGACTGATGCTATTTATTAATCTACTTCCAAGTAATGTCAAATTTTAAAGTTGCTCCAAAGAAAACCACCATTTTTTGTGGTATCAGCCTTTTAATATGCTGAAAGAACTTGTTCAAAATGCTCCAGTAGTGAAGTAACTTAGATGATAAATGTGTTCTTCAGTCTGTGCACCAGTCAAGTAGCAATAAAATCAGAATAATTCATGCAAAAATTTTCATTATGTTTCTAAACATACTTATTTACATTTTAAATCACACAACAGACAATATGAAATATCTTTTATTTAGACAGGTGTGAACAAGAAAACAGATGCGTTCATTAAACATAGAACAAATTGGTGAATTAAAAAAAAACTATTCTGAGAATTCTCTAGGTGAAGTACTTGGGCCACTGTTAACTTACCTGAAAAAATATGGCCATGGCTCCAATTATTCTGTTTTCGGAAATTGCAGTTTGAAAGCTGTCAAAGTCGTCTGGATTGTAAAAGAAAATCTGCATCTGTAAAAGAACAATGAAAAAATTTATTATGAAAATTTTTCACACCTACGCAGAAGTAGAGAGAATCGTACAATGATCCCAGATTATCCCACTTGCTAAAATTTGGCCAAAAGTATTCATCTATCTGTATTTTTTTCTTTGCTAAAGTATTTGGGAGCAAACCCCAGGCACCATAATATCATCATACCATTTTACCTCCATGAACTTCAGCAGGCGTTACTAAAACACACATCTTCTCACATAACGCTGGTGCCTTCTTGCAGCCCCCAAACAAATAAGACTGACACTTTCCCATTACCTAGTACTCATGTCATCATGAAAGTTCCCTACTAAGAAACCAAATTTTAATGGAGTTAAACACCTTGAAGTAGAAAGCGAATGAAGCCTGTGAAATTCAGTCCATGTGTTAAAAAATGATAAATGCTCAAATGGGCACATCTTTATAAACACTGCTCATTCTAATAAATGTGAGGGGTTCTCTCAGTAGCCTTGAGAAGTAGCCTAAACGGAATATTTGTTTGACTCCACAAAGAAACATAATGGTAATGTTGGTAATAATGCCTTACACTTCACAGTTTGCAAAAAGTCATCACATACATTATTTCACTGAATCCATCTGACAACCCATGTGAAGATAGGGCAAAACTACTACTATCAGTTATAGATGAGGAAATAGTGCTTCAGAAATTTGACGTTGATAATGGCTAAGATTAAACTTCAGAGGAAGACTATAAAATCCAGGTGCTCTCATCCCAACCTTAAAAACCTTCTCTTCCATTTGGCTAAAATTTCTTATTCAAAAAGCAGAACACAGATAAATCAACTTAAATTCATTATACAACTTTAATGCTTGAACACTCCTTGATATTTCATACAATTCGGAGAACAAAAATGGACCACAGAGTCATCTCCTGAGTCCACATTTATGATAAAAATAATAGATGTGGGGACCTATTCCAGTTTCCTCATTTACCTGCTGTGAGACCTCAGGCAAGCAAGCTATTATAATTTCTGAGCATTGGCTTCCTCATGTAAAGAATCAAGTATTAGCCCTTGGCGGGTGGGCCTGGGGATCACAAGTGAGTGTAGTGTATAGTATGTAGCACCATGTTTAGACCCCACCAGTGCTCAAGAACTCACCATCACCACCACCATATTGTCAAGTTATCATCTGATAGAGACCTGAAAATTTCTGATTCCACTGAATCTTCTAGACTGAACCTACTCCCTATAGAAAATCAAATCTCCTGTATCATCAGCTCTCTTCTATGACCTCTGTTTCCCCACTTTTCCCAATGACATGATGCTATTTAGACAGAACAACCACCACAACCCAGATGGAGTTTGGAGATTGGATACTGAATAATAAATTCCCAGTGGGGAAAGTGAAGTCGCAGCAACTAAAGGAAGAGGTCAGAGGTAAACAGAGTCATGCTGACTGAATTAACCAAGGTCTTATGAACAAGGTGGTATTTCTTTTCTGAAGAGTGAAATCAGATAACCCAATCAGGACACTTTCTAGGAAAACTCAAGTACCCAAGTGGCTGGGAGAAAGATGGGTAGATTATTTTTCTAGCATTTTCTTTCTCAAAGCGAATTACTTTTGCTCAGACTGTGAATTCCAGCTGAATCTGGCAGCTTCTTACAAATGTGTTGCCTTTAGGTTTGGACAGCTGTAGACATCATGAATTCACACTGGGAAAATCCATTCAATGAGGTGCAGATTAAAACAGTTTAATGCTGAATGAATTGCTTTGGATACATTGCTACTAGCTCAAGAAAGAAAATCGACACAAGCACATTACACTTCACTTTCCTTTTAAAACTCAGTCCCTCAAATTAAGTAAGTTCCCAGAGTGTTTTCTTATTCTTCAGTGCATGGTCAAGGGTGGCATTGTTTAATGCATCACCTGAATAGTGTGTGATACAAAATACTTTAAGGCCGTTTCAAGGGCATTTTCATTTACAACTGGATGAGAAAATTCATTTTTAGAAAATGTCTTTGAGTCATGACTCCACCCATCAGGATAATAAAATGTCTCGTGGAGAGAACAGTAGCATAAGTCTGAAATATCAATTTTCCTTGCTGTTCCTCTCAAGTTGTCTGTCGTCTACTGAATTATGTGAATTTCTGAAGCTATCTTAAATGTGAGAGTCAATAAGTACATGGAGTTTTGCTGAGTAAATTGGACTTTTAAGTTATTTTAGTGTTATTGTTGATGAGACAAATTTGGGCAGAAGCTGGAAATCTATTTTCCAGAAACATCTTTGGAAGGTGTTGTGGTGGCTATTAAATATCTTGAGTAAGCCCATCAACTTTCTGTACCTGCTGTCAAGAACTATACTCAGAGCCTTCCTTTCAGCATTCCCCAAAGTGTGTTCTTTTGAATAATGTGAATCTTAGTGATGCTTACTGTATGGCAATTCTCCAGAAGAAACATGGTGCACATAAGCTGAAGAAAAGATATGGAAAATCCAGCAATAAAGAGATCTATCTATTCACTGTTCCTGCACCCACTACCACCAATTATTTATATTTTACCCCACTTACATCCTCTCCCTCTCTCTCTCTCTCTCTCCCCACACACACACAATTTTTTTCTGAATCATTTAATAGTAAATAGGAGGAAAATGCCCCTTTACCTATAAATACCTTAAGTAGATAATTTCTAAGAATGAGTATATTCTCTTATATAACCACAGTACAATTATTAATATTTGCAAACTTCACTTTGATACAATACTATTTACAGTGCATTTTCAAAATTTGGCAAGTGACCAAATAAGTTCATTATAGATCATTATTTTGGTTCTCAGTTCAGGAAGCCAACCTATGATCAAACTTTACATTTAATTGTCATGTCTCTATACTGCCCCTCTCCCATTCCCCACTTTCGTCTGGAACAGTTACTCAGCCTTTCTTTCTTTACTTTGGCCGTGTGAAGTGGACAGGCAGGGTCTGTCTCATGGGTTCTCATGATTAGATTTAGGTGGTGCATTTTGGGCAGGTTACCACAGAATTAATATTGTTGTCTTCACAGTGTACCATATGAGGAAGCACGTGAAGTGGGTTTATTCTAATAAGACTAGTGTTTAACGTGATCACATGGTTAAGGTGATGTCTGCTAGGCTTCTCTACCATAAAGTTACTAATTTTCCTTTTGTAATTAAAAAGTACTTTGCAGGGAGATATTTTGAGATTACAAAAATATCCTATTCCTCATCTAACTTTCACTCACTAGTTTTAGTATCCATTGATGATTTTATAACTCGACCAGCCTTCAATATTCATTAATGGCATTCTAGTTTAAAACATAGCCTTCCCTCTCCATAGTTCATTCGTTTGTTCATTCATTCATTCATATCAACAGAAACTCATTTATTTTTGCTTCTATTTGATCTAGTGGGTTATTATCCATTACTATCAGTATTTATTTGTAAGCTCAAACTGTCTCAGGTTTGCTCAATAGCTGGCTCTTCAGAGTCCTGTCATTCTGTCACATGCTCACATTTTTCATTTTTTTAACCCCTTATTAGCTGGCACAGATGTTCTACATTCATCTTGTATTTTCCCTGCTCCAGTCCTAAAACTGGTCATTTCTTAAGCAAGCCCTGGTTCCTTTTAGTGAGGAATGGCATTTAAAGACCTAATAATGTTAACTCAGTGTTTTCTAAATATGTTTGAGATTAGACAACTTTGGTTCTTCAGGAAAATTATATAACGTAAGGCTGTGTATGTCTATTCCAACCAGACCCTCTGTGCAAGAGAAGGAAAGCTGGATCAACTTTGTATAAATGGATGTCTCTCCACCATGCAGAGTACCATGAGATATGTAAGTCACCCCAACAACAGAAACAAACCATATGAAGCTCAACTAAAAAGCCACTGGCAGACTGTTTGCTGTACACCAGGGTGCAATCAGGGACCAGTTCTAAAATACCTTTTAAACTCATGAGCGAGAATCAGAAATGGCTCATCCAACTGTACCTGTCAAATGGCTGGAATGGACAAACCCTCAGGCATGTCTCTAGCTAGATCAAGGTGGTAGATAATATAAAACATACTATCACATAACCTGACATTTGGAAAATAGCATTTTACAGGGAGAAAAAGCCCCATCACTGACCAGAAAGCATGTGCTAAAAGATAGATGTGGAAGATGCCTGAATGAGTGGCAACATTGCCAAGTGATGGGAAAGATGAAATCAGCACTGTGAGTGCAGCGCTGGTAGCGGTCAATGCTCTACGACTGTTGGGTACTGATATGATGTATACAGTCACAATATGTCCACTTAGCTTCCCTTTCTCCTGCTTTATATTTAAAATGTCTATAGTTGCAATTTGATTTAAAAGCTATGTATATGCTTGGTTTCCTATTTGTATCACTCTCTGTGTTAAGACAAATGAATAGAAAGTGACAGATCCGAAAATTAAAGCCTTCTATAGTTTTATTAATGTTGTTTTTCAAATATGTAGTGACTGCCTACTCTGTGTCAGGAACTGTACTCTCATCATCCTTTCACACTTACTGAGGTAGCTACCACCATGATCATTTTACAGCCAAGGAAACCAAAGATTTCTAAAGTTACAAAGCTCTTAAGGAAGAAGGGTGGAAAGCACTGTGTTTTAACTTCCTTTCAAAAAACATACATTTCTTCAATGTGTACACCCCCATACACACATACATGGCCCAAGAAAATTGCATGATGAATTAAATAGGGAAACAGTACGCAGATAGCTCTAGAGGAAAAGCAATCTACTGACCATCAGTAGATATTTCCAGGATACTGTTGGGCATCTTCATAGAGTGGAAAAACCCACATGAAAAGATACAGGAGAAGAACAGATGAGATGTAAAAAGGATGACATAAAGATGGTGACTGAAAAGGCAACAGCAAGAATTACAAATTGCCTAGGAGGCAGTATATAACAGAACAGAAGAGGTGAAATGTATTTTTCTGAACATAATTGGTGCTAACCAAGTTAAGTAGTAAGCTAG